CTTCTCAAGTCTTACAAATCTGTTTTACATCATTTTATTGAAACTTTATGACCGTAATTAAATACTATTTTAAGCATAAATAGAAAAAATAATATTTCAGGAACAAAAACTACAAAAATACTCTAAACAATCCCATTTATATGGAACGTGGCTTATAACTGTATGTAATATCTTCTCAAAGTATATTTAACTTCGAATAGTTCTTCAACCAGTATTTTGTTCAACTGAACTATAATAGTTAATTCCACAATAAACCAAGCGACTAAATCTAATTTAACATTATTCCGTTATTTAACCAGAATTGAAATCCAGTCGAATCTAAAATTTAATTAATTTTTTAGAATTGTATAAACTTTATTCCACGAAACATTTTGAAAAAAATAAAAGCATTTAGATCAATTTCCATTTTTAGTACTAAGATAACTTTCTCTTAAAATATTTGTTACAATTTTCAATGCGAGTTAATTAAATATTTTTAAATAAATTTTATAAACACCTAATTTAATCTAATTTTATTATACATTTAATTTCACCATAAATGTATAGAGAGCGATTCTTTTAATATTGGTTCAATTATTCTTAAAATAATAAGTTCTTTTTTTGGTTTTGTTTGTTACATATATGTCTTCATTTATCTGATATATTTATTATGTTCGTTGCTTACGTCTCATAGGAATATTAATTTTATGTTTTTTATGAAAACATACATATTTAACTAGCTTATAAAAGAATAACTATTGATAATAACTTTTAATTAATTATTAAGTATTTTTTTAGTATATTCCTTATACCTTAAAAAGGTATCAATTTTATTTTATAAACGATAAATTAAGTCTTTAATTAGTTTATATCATAGAAAATGAATTGGACTTTAAAAAAAATGTGTTCAATTTTTTGGAAATTATAACGATTTTACAATATTAAGTGGAGGTAAGGTGTTATTTTTATCATTATGCATTTTTTGCTATGATCTATACTTAAAAATGTTAATAACCTCTGAAACTCTTATATCAAAAAGTTATTATCAACCAGTCATTTTCTTAATTATATAATTTTCTACTTTATGAGATAGTTAATATTTATGTTAATATTATATGTATATTATTATTATATGTATGTTGCTACTAAAAAAATTAAGTTAATACCCTTATATGGTATATTTTATAACAAATAAATGAAGATATATATGTAATTAATAAAAAAAAGTTATAATTTTAAGAGAAATTAAATCCCAAGTGTGATATAATCATCCTGTATATATGACTCCATGAAGGTTTTTGATGAAGTAAGAGTGTAACAAAAATTACATAGCGATGATCTTAGTATAACTAACTCTACATTAGTAATTTCATTGTGATTTTTATCCATTGAGAATATAGAACAGCGAGATAAGAAATATTAAAGAGATCGAATTTAAAAATGCTGTAAACTCTAATTGGACAAAATAAGCTTAAGCAATTTATTCCCTCTCCAATCATAATTTAAGTGACTATTTTTTGTATTATGAGTAAAAAGTAATATCAATAATTTGTAAGAAGAGGATCTGATAATCAAACAATGATGTTATATTTTCTATATTTTTGATGTTATAAATATAGACAATGTATGGTCCACATATTAAATTTTCAGTTTTTAAATACTTATTTTTTCAATTAACAACTTACCAGTTTTTATATTTACATGCATGTATTATCATTCATTTATACTGTTCTTTTACAAAAAATAAACATTTTTAAAAGTTAACAACTAATTTCCCTTGTCAGTACTTATTTATATTTTTACACATTGCTGTTAATTGTTCAATAATATTTGTTATGCAAAATCGTATGAGAATAGTATGGAACTTAGCGTATAGACTTGAAAGACGTTTTGACATTTTCTATACAGCTCTCTAAATGGTTGCGTATATCAGAATTTTTCAAGAAGTAGAGAAATATTTATCAAAAATTATTAAGCAGAGGGTCTTTGTGCATCTAAATCTCAATAATCTTTGTTTAAAGTCAATTGGGAGAGATTCAATCCGTCCGTAAATAAGTCACTATTCTCATAGTAAAATCTATTCATTTAATTTAGAAATAATTTTTGCAGATCAATTTTGAATGGAACGAAACACACATTCATTACAAAATTAACCGTATTTTTCAAATGTTTATTATAACAACACTTTTTATAAATGGTAATAGAATTTTTGACTCAATTTATACAATAGGTTTGAATAAAATTTAAATTACATGTAACATAAAGGCCCGTCCTGAAGTTAAAAATTGGGTGGGGTTGAATTTTTTTTTTAATAATTATTTTCTGGTAGCTTCCTGCAGAATGAAAGATTACTGACTAAAATGATTAAGTTTTACCTAGTAGAGAGATGTGATAGCCCCTCCACAACCGTATCTTATGGCGGCTCTGGAAATACATGACATCCAATTAATAGACATGGACATTTTCGATAATTAATGACGAACAGAAGTACTGTTAAGAAGTAATATTAAATAAAAGAATAGGAACACTTCAATCAAGATTTTGTTCTGTAACCATTTGCATAAATAAAGTTGAGTAATATAATTATAAAATATGTGCTACAAGTGTAGATAAGTAAAATAAAATAAGACTGTAATCGTTACGCTATATTGAAACAAACAATCGACAAAAATTTATGCGAATAATTTTTAGGAATGTCCAAAATGAAAAAAAAAACGAACTCGACTAATTAAAATGCATGCAATTATTTGACAATGTAAAAAAATTGCATTACAATATGTTATATCACATATTTTCGGCACGCGCGATAAACATCGGCAATAATTTTCAGAAAAAATTGTCGACCATGCTATTGAACGATGGAAAAAAAATTGCCGAAGTCGAAAATAGGGCGTTTCGTAATAGACACAATGTGATGATGTCACAGCCAAACCGACAGTGTTTTAGTGCGAGTAAAGTGTTTGCGGTCAAAGTGATTCTTTTAATATTAGCCACTCGATATCTCTTAAAATAATTATTTGATAAATATCTGTAATTAATTAGTTACTAAGTATCTTTTATGTTTGTCCCTTAAGCCTTATAGGGTATTGATTTTATTTTTATTAGTGACAAAATGCATATTTAACTGGCTTATAAAATAAAAAATATTCTAATTAAGAAAATGATTGGTCGATAATAACATACTATAGATCGTAGGAAGAGCGTAGCAAAATAATGCATAATGATAAAAATAACTCGGTCCATACCTCACCTCCACTTAATATTGTAAAATTGTAATAACTTCCGAAAAATAGATCAAAATTTGTTATCGTCCAGTCATTTTCTTAATGGGATCATTTTCTATTATAGAAGCTAATGAATCATGTATGTTGATATTGAAAAAAATAAAGCTGACCCCCTAATAGGGTATAAGAGATGATTAAAAATAATAATAAATAATTATTATTTAAGAAATATATGAAACAAAAAAGACTAAAAATTTTTTTTTAATATAATAACTATTTTAAGAGAAAAGAGTGGATATATTAGAAGAACCATTCTGTTGTAATAAATTTTCATAATAAGCACACTACTGTTGCGACGTCAAAATTTGGTTCTCTCACGTACGTAAAAAAAAACCAACTAGTTTTGTTTGAAATCCCAAAAATAATATTCTTATCTGTCAAACTCTATATTTATACGTGTACATTAATTGGAAAAAGACCGCATCCACTGTCAATAAACGAACACACAAACACACTCTCATATTAACAATAAAATGGTACGTGAAGATAAAATGATACACCGAATAGACAGACAGCCCGGACCGTGTCATCATTCCGTCACATTTAAGTAATTGTTTTTCTACCATATACCCAACACTTCAGTATACCTAAATTTAAAAAAGAAAACAATAAGTATGACTCAAAAAATAAAATAAATATACACTACCTAAATAAAGTTTTTTTTAGCGTTCTAATTTCAATGAGTACATTTTAAATCAAAGTAATAATAAATTACTTATTAACAAATAATAGTTTTAATAAAGAACATATTTTAGGAAATTTATACTTTAACAGTATTTGTTTGAAATAAAATAATTATAAAATAGTTAAGTTTAACCTTATCTATGTGATATAAGATTCAAGACTTTAGACATACTCCTTTTCATGAACAAATTAATAATGTTAAAAATTTACAAAACTTCGTGGGTCTAGGCGTTACTACAAAGAAAATATGTACCCAAAATAAAAATAAAATTATACTAATGCTATTAAACCTTTAACACAATCATAATTCGTTCATAAAATCATAAATTTCTGGGCTACAATTAAAATCTAATGCCTCCAAATTCTGTATCCATATCAGCTTTTTGTTCCAATAACCATTGAATTAATGCAATTAGTCAATTTAAATTAATAATATAAATGGAAATTATTAAAATATTAATAAAATTTAAAATTCAATTTACAGGAATAATGGTATTTGATTAGTCATATTTTATACATAATCTGTTTTTGATAATAGATAATCATTATTAAAGATTTTAATAATTTTAATATATTAATAGATAATAATTAGTAAATATCTAATATCTAAAAAAAGAATGTATCTATTAAACATACAGCACAAGATCTAACAATACTCGCGACTTATCATGTTAAATTTAGGTCATCAGAATCGGTACTGTAATGAATATTACAAACATTTTTTATGGTAAAAGTTTAACAGCAGATAAAAAATGAATTTACATAAATGTAGAGGCACTCAACATAAAAGTAGATGACCGTTGAGACAAATTGAAAAATAAGTGTACAGTGGGTATATGAGAAAATAGACGTTTCTAACAACAATAAAATATAAGCTCATTGATGGAATTGTATTTTTTAATTCGTTTGTAAGCCATAGAAAACGATAAATAAAAATTACAAACAACTTTCATTAATTTTTATGGTTATGTATTGAAATATTTGTACCCAAACGCACTTTCAATTGGTGAATGTTTTGTAAATATAGAGAACAGTTTGGCGAAATTTACTTACAGGGTCTTTGACGTGCGCTTCAAAATCGTAATCATCAGCTGCAGTGCCGGCCAAATCGCCGGAATTCGGAAAGTAGCTCATATAAACACTCCTGGAAACTGTAATGTTGTTTGCAAATTAAATCCAGTAATTAAGGTTTTCTCGATGGCGTTTAACAATCCGTGTGAATTTGTGTGTTGGCTGTGAATTGTGATAATTATATCAACTGAAAAGACTGCCGGTCGACTTAATTATAATAGTTAAATGCAATGCTTATATAGAAGATTGTCTATTTCGATGACCCGCCGTAATAATCATGTCTCCCAAGATAAAATCACAATTGATTATTGAAGATAACGCGCGTATAATAATGGCTTGTGTATTATTAGAAATTTTATTTTAAAAAAACGGCCGACGCGAGATTAAATTAGCGCACCGGGAAAAAAACATTTTACAGGTGTGACTTATGAGGCAATTATCGTAGTGGTCACCTATGATATGATTACTATAGCAAAGAGCCCGACAGGTATTCCGGTGAATCGTCACAAAGGTGTGCGAAAGGAGTTTTGAGTAGTTGGAAAACTAGAGCACTTGCGACGACAACGACGGCGACGGTAACACGGTACAGTTAACGGGCAAACGCGGGTTTTCAACTATCACTATTCACCGCGTACTGTGTGCCCCACGCGTCTCACTGTGTATACGTGCGCGCATATTCACTCATTGGCGAGGGCCCGCGCTGACGTCACCGCCCACCAGACTGGACATTGGAGGAACAGCCCAGTCGACGCCCCAGCCCTCGTATACCCGCCGCGGTACAGTCAATATACTGAGTTTGCATAATTATTTAGGCTACGGCTATGCGGTCTAACCGTAGTCGTCGTCGTACGAATGCGTGTATGTATGCATTTTTTAATGTAATGAATAGTAAAAGATGGAAAAAAAAAAGCATAGCGAATAATAATAATAATAATCATCAAACCGACAGAAACGCGCCTTAACAACCTACATTATCGGCAAAGATTATAATATTATCCAATGATTATGTTTTTGTTTAGTACGGTGGGCGGCGATATCAACAACGGGTTCGGATTAATAATAAAAAAAAATTTACCATTAATATACACAGATTTTTTTTTTTATTTCTTTTTGCATGTGAAACAAAAGAAAATCTATAATGTAGCAATGCTATGATTGCAACNCAGATTTTTTTTTTTATTTCTTTTTGCATGTGAAACAAAAGAAAATCTATAATGTAGCAATGCTATACTTACACAAATTAATCATTTTTCATGGTTGAGTCTACAATATATTTTATAGAACACGTAATAGTCCAAAGATTTAAGTAACTCTTTAGGCTCTACAATAGTAGGCGTTTTGAGATTTTGCTATTCGGTGGCAACATATTTTTATACCCTAAAAATTTTAATTTATCAGTTTTGGTTGATTGATCGACATTTTTTTTACAAAAAAACGTCATTTATTCCTAAGATATGCTTCTATGCATCTCAGCTCACAATGTACGATTTTATTTGTATATTTAAAGTTTTGTATTTTAATACTACTATAATTTTCATTATTATTATAATATTTATAAAATTACAGGGGCGGTCAAATTGGAGGGAATAAGAGATGTAGATCGTACTCTGTTTAACGTTTTTATAAAATTTTCATAACAAATATTTTGTATTTTGAACATTTTATGTATGATAAATCAATTAAAAAGTTATTGAGCATAACTAATATAAAAATGAGATCGAAAGTTTTAACAATAAATTTCATGTTTTTTAACTACGGCAACCATTTATACATAGAAGATAAGTCATCGGGACAAATTTTTTTTGAACTTATAGTACATAACATAAAGTTTATTTTAACATATGTCTGAAGCTCGGAGTATTTCCGGAACATTTTCAAAACTTAAGTTCAAAAAGTTAAATTTTTGTACAGAAGTCGCTATTTTGAATCCCCCTCTGTGGGCAGATAAAGTGACAAATGTTCACAAAAATATATTAAATAATAGGAAAATACCTAAGGCTTCAATATAAAAAAAATTTTCAAGGGAAAAATTTCTTCAACTAGATATGATTTGTGATCTTTTGAAGAATCATTAAAAGAAATCGGTCCAGTAAAAGCTGAGAAAAAGTGGCAACTGATCCAAAAAAAAAAAACCATCATAGTAAAATCTCAGCTTCGCATCGAAGCTAAAAAATATGTTTTGGTTATTTATATATAGTTAAAAGGATCGAAGTACTTTTCTTAAATAAATCAAATTTGTATATGCTTAATAAGTAGACAGCTACATAAAATATTTTATAGTCCATAATAATATCTCGATAAAGTAAATCAAATAATAAAGTTCTGGGATATGAAAGCACAGTTTCTAAAATGATTTATATCATAAAGGTTTTTCATCCCCTCAATGGCATATATGTTTGACTACCACTGTATTCATTTTTTTGTTCATCATCCATCGACAGAAATATTCATCTCTAAATTAAAATAATGAACAAAAAAAGGGCAAAATATGAAATTTTTTTATTTGTTTACTGTGCTTCTCCCTTACGCATTGTAAGAAATTATTCGAAATTCCCCAACACCAGTATGTTATTAGATATAGGTTAAAAACTTTCATTAAATGTATGCGAAAATAAGTATTTTTGTAAAAATTTATTTATTGAAGAATATTTGGAACATTTGTACTGGTGGACCAATCAAAAGTAAGACCAGTACAAATTCTGGAACTCTATAGAAAATAATAATTTTAGTTATATTAAATAGTTGAATAAATTATAGTTAACCCAACTAAATTTTAGTTCAACTATAATGAGGTAAATCGTCTAGTTATCGAACAATAAAGAATTTATTCAACTTCAATATTATTTAAAAAAATTATTTTTACAAATTAATATTTAATAATTGGATATAAAATTGATAGATTCATCTAATCTTAATTTTCAATATTTTTAACGATATCAAATAAAAACAAATATTCTATATTGAATTTATGTTTAAAAAAAACCTGTAATTGAACAGAATTTTGATTGCGAATTGCGTATTTAAATGTCAACATAAGTGTTTTAAATTCTATACTTTAAGTCATCCTTCATAAATTAAAATTACTCAACTTAAATGCTTAAAAGTTGTTCATTAACTGGAGTAGTTAACAAAATTTTGAATATTCATCTAAAAATCGAATAAATTCATATTTTTTTTTAAAAATAAATTCTCATTCACATTTATTAAAATTTTTGTACAAAACATTTATTGTCCTTGACAATATATAAATAATGGTAAAGGCACCCATTAATTTTTAGCCTCTATTATTAGATCTCTAAAATGATCGCAGTTCTATTATTTAAAATTTATAAGCCAAAAAGGCCTTCAAAAAGTTGCACAAATCCTATAATGATTTTCTCACTATAGTGAGAATAAGATATATCATTTATAATATATATCTTATATGTTCCTAATAAAAATTTGAATGAAAAAAATTAGCAAATAAAACAAAATAAATAACCGTTATTATTAATGAATAAATATAAATATTTATTATACAACTTAAATAAATGAAAAAGTATCTTTGATCTACAATAAATATTAAATATTATGATGTAAAAAGATGTTACATTTAGTCTACTAAAAGTTTTCTTAAGGTCAAATTAAGCATTCTCATGAATAAAATATAATAACTAAATAAATCAAATAGTCAAATAATAAAGTTTAAACACTAAAAAACTTGTCTTAGACTATTTAGACTAAAAGTATTTTTTTTTTTGCCTCACTTAATTAAACATATAGTAAAATAACGAAAATAAACAAATGACTATGGCATCATAATTTTGACTAGATAGATCTATCAATAAAATATATTGAAATTTAATCCGTATAATAATATAGTAATTGTTTATCAATTTTACCACCCAATAGTAATTTATAAAATATTACCATTTGACTAGTTCTATACTAATACATAATATGTGGTTTTTGATTACCATTTTGGGATTATAAAATTAGGAATAAAAAGGAAAAAGTTGGAGAAATTAAGATAAAATTGAATCATCAGTGAATATAAAAAAAAGATTAACAAACGGAGATGATATAAATTTTTTAAAAAGATTATTAACAAAATTAGTGGGGATTATTATTATAAAAAATTATTGTAATTGTAACTTTGAATAAAAAAGAAAATGATGGTTAAAATTGCATGGTGAACAATAAGTTAGTGCCTGAAATGTGATATCATAAATAAGCAAGTGATTAAAAGAGATGATTGTATAGTGAAGTTACAGAGTCACAGAGATAAAGGCAAGTAGAAGATTTTCAGAGACATAGTACCAAAATGTACTTAGTATACTTGAATGAAAACGATAGAATAATGAGTTGGCTGAGTATGATAAGTGTTTAGTGATAACTTTACAATCTAGGTATTGATATCAAACTTTGAAGGGTAGACAAACATATTCCACATACAGCCTAACATTGGTAGTTAAGTAAACTACACCTAAAATTGTGTGTACGCATGAAAAAACAAGCAATTAAGTTGTTTACGATACATGATGTAGGTGAGATAAGAGGAAAGGAAAAAGAGTGAGATGACATTTTAAATACCTTATTTCTTTTTTATCTCGTTGATCTAAACTGCTACGTTCCATTGTAGGTACTGTATATAAATAAAAAAGAAATGAGGTATTTAAAATGTCTCATCCAATGAAGTTTTTGATCAAATTAAAGGTCAAGGTATGTGACACAATCAGAATAGGTTTAATTAACACTGTTAAGATAAATATTAGAGTCCTGAGAAATTCATTTTCTAGTGAAAATAATGGCTTGACTTGTCTCTAGAGGAGATTTAAAAAAAGACATAGAGAATGTATGGATGTTGGATATTGGAGACAATAACCTGAAGTCATTTATTAGAAGAAAAGATTATTATATTGGCGACATAGAATAAACTAAAATGATTATTAGATGATAGGGAATTTTGATATTAGCAGTATAAATATTAAATAAAATTGGACTAAAGTAGTTACTTAGAATCAGTACTCAATGAATGATTCGAAGTTGAGTTATAAGGATAGAGGATTAGCTGAAGTAGAAATATAAATTTATCATAATTGGAGAGTGTTATGGTCAGGAATTAATATTTTTTAAATAATCAATCAATGACGTAGAAAGAGTTTTATATTAAGGGGGCCCATAGAAAAAATATCTACAAAATTCTATATATTGGACCTTTTTTTTGCTCAGCACTTTATTTTATAAAATAAATATTGTTGTCAATGGGAGGGGCCTTCAATTCCCTTTTATGCGCTTTTTTTTATAGAAAAAGAGTTGAGCATTTGTTTAAAATTGTTATTAGTCTAATGAGACGAAGCTAGATAGAAAAATGGGATCAAAATGGAGACTCCGTTATAGCCATATGAAAGATCAGAACGGAATAATTGAAAATAAGATAATAAAAAGTGTTTGCTAGGTATAAACAAAGTTTCCGAGAGAAGGGCATTTGTTTTGACAAATGAGAAAGAAATGTGCTGATCCTTAATTTGGATACTTCAACTAATATTTCGCTGTAAAATGTTTATTATATAGTTAGTATAAATGAAAGAAAGAGAAAGAGAAATTTAACAACTACTATCATATAGGCCAGTCTACGAAGGAAAAATGACGGAAAAAATTTC